TTAAAGTTTGACAACTTTGTATACGGGCCTGCAAGCTAGGTTTGCTCTACTTTGCCCAGGGGGTTGCCCTTGTTTGGAAACATCCAAAGGCAGAAAGAAAAGGAGGAATGTCCTTCTCACAGAAATGTTCTGCTCAGAGCAGCCACCTCATTCCCATCAGCGGTAGCATTAGCAATACGTGAAGACTCCCACAGAATGGTTACTCTCTGCCTGGCCTTTGCAGGGCCCTGGGACCTGAGCGGTGAGTAATACTGATTTTTGCCATCTCTAATCATCTTGCCCCCAAAACAATGCAAAATTGAGTTGGGAAAACAAAGCTGATACCCAGGAAAAGTGAAATACCAAAGCCATTTCTAAGTTCCAAAATCAATGTTTAGATAAGAGTTCTCTTAAAAGCCCAGAGGAAAAGTTATTTCTGAGGGCTGGGAGGTCAGGGAAGACTTCCTGAAGGGGGCTCTTGAAGGATAGGTAGAAATCAGGGTTGCAGAGAGGAACGGGAAGCACTTAACAAACACAAGATGTTTAATACATTTTGTTGGATGATCATGACAGGGCAATCCAGGTCAAAGGCAGAGAGGACCAAGTGGGGACCTTTAGGAGATCTCAGAACAAGGGGAGAAAATACTGGGAAATGCTTTTTTTTTTAAAAGTACTTTCCCATTCACCCTCTCATCATAGCCTCATAGTACTCTTGGGAGTAGGTTGCCTGGGGATGTCACCGTATCAAAGAGTAAGAAACTGAAGGCAGTTGAAGCTCTGGGGTAACTCCAGACAGGGCGAGATTTACTTAACGTCACAAGGCCAGGCAGTGTCGCTCACTGGTACCCAGCAGGGGGCGCTCTAGCCTCTCTTCTTGCCTGCTCACTTCCTTCTCAGGATAGAGCCACAAGCAGGTATAAAGGGTAAAATCTGCTACCAACTAGTGTTCTGAGGGGAGAGAAGGAGACAATTGTACAAAAAGAAAGGGTAGAGGGAGGAGGGACATACTGGGCCTCTACCTTGCTCTCACACAACCCTTTATAAACAATGCTAGGGTCTTTTTTTGGCATCAGTCCAGAGGCTTAGAGACAGAACTGAAGGTCTGTTTAGCCTCAGAAACTGCAATAGGCAAGCAGGAGCCCCACTCCCCCCGCCCGCCCCTCCCCCCCCCCCCCCCAGATTATTGTTCTAAGGCCACAGCAGAGGCTGGGTCCCAGCCATGATGATATTGTTAGCTTGGTAGCAGCAGCAGCAGCAGCAGCAGCAGCAGCAGCAGGGGGGTCAATACCTAGTTTTTCCTATGCCTTTGAATAGGAGAGGGGCGCAGGATGGGCTGTATCCTTTCATGGTAATTCAATGGCACCCCTGAGGCTTGCCTAAGAGGACCCCAACCTATTTTCTTAAGTTGTAAGAAGAGTGCCAACCATAAAAATCTGGAGTGATTAACGTTTGTTGAGCATCAATTCATACATCTACCAAATATGCACTGACCTAATTTACTGTGTGCCAGGCATTGTATCCATTGCCTGTTTAATGTTCCCAACAGTCCCTTGAGTTGGTGCTGTCCTTCATCTCAGTGCTGAAACCCTTCCCCTCTAACTTGAGATCATGGGTATAACCTGGTCCAGAAAAGCTAGCGGTTGCTGAGCAGGCCAAGGTCTCAGGAGGTCCACTCGAAACCCCTCCTCTCTTGGTTAGGCTTTTTCACTCTGCTTTTCCAATGTGAAGAAGCAGACAGTACTACTGCAAAAACACCCTACAATTGGCCTATACCCATGTATTTTTTCTGTTAAAGCAGCAATTTTCGCCGAAACCGGTTTGGCTCAGTGGATGGAGCGTCGGCCTGCGGACTGAAGGGTCCCAGGTTCGATTCCGGTCAGGGGCATGTACTTGGGTTGTGGGCACATCCCCAGTAGGAGATGTGCAGGAGGCAGCTGATCGATGTTTCTCTCTCATCGATGTTTCTAACTCTCTATCTCTCTCCCTTCCTCTCTGTGAAAAATCAATAAAATATATTTTTTTTTAAAAAGCAGCAATTTTCAACCTTTTTCATCTCGAGGCACACATAAACTACTAAAATTCTGTGCACACCAAAAAATGTATTATACTTTTTGCTGATCTGACCCCCCCCCCCAAAATTAGGTATGATTTTGATTCATTCACACCAGACAGCTATTGGCTGTTGCCATTCTTTTATTTGACAATCTAAGGGAAAAGAGGTCAGTGCCCCTGACTAAATAGTCAGGTACTGCATGTTTTAAAAATTCTTGTGCCAATGCACACCAGCTGGAAATCGCTGGACTAAAAGAATGTTAAATGTTCATGGAATCCATATGCTGTAGTTTATAGACATTTAATGGCACTCATTTAGCATTAAAAATATTTTTCATCTGCACAATTCATTCTCTGACATCAGTTATGTAACCTCCTGCCTCAGGTCATTTCATAGTTACAGACTAGAAGGCAATGCTGCAGAGCATCCAGCATCCCCCAAGAGAAGAGTCCCCCATTTCCTCCATGACAAATGTTTATTCAGACTCTGCTTGCATACCTCTGGTGATGGGGAGTTCACTGTTTCCATGGGAGCCCATCCAATGATTGACAACACTCACTAGGAAGTTTTCCTGATTTGGACCTGAAATCGGTCTTACTGAGAATACTTCCCTGGATGTGGTCTTTATATTTGACAACACAGAAAAAGTTTGCTTCTTTTGGACAAAAATAATGTCCAAAATACAGATTGTGATTTTCCTTCCTACTTCTACTCCCTCTTAGGTTTTGTCTCAAGGACAAATAGCTCCAGTCTCCTCTTCAATTTCTAATGGGAAATGATTTACAGACAACTCACCATCCTGGCTGTATTATCAGTAGCATAGCTACCATCTATTGAGCACCTTTTCTGTCATTTCCCATACCCAAATTCATTGAACCTACATAACTACTACAATGAGATAGACATTACTATTACCATCCTATGGGTGAGAAAACTAAGATCCAGAAAGGTTCAATAACATACCCAAGATCACCCAGATATTAAGAGACAGAACCAGGGTCAGGATGCAGAATTAGAACCCAGAGTTGCCTGGCTCCATGTGTTTTGCTTGTAAACTATGAACATATTCACTGCTTGTGAGGCCTGTGATCCAATTAATTAAAGCAATTTTTAAAAGTGGGGCCTAAATCTAGTCACAACACATAGAAACAGTCTGACCAGGGAAAAATAGATCTGGACTATCACCTCCCTTACTTTACGCAATCTGCCTCTATTTATGCTGCCTCAAGAGAAGCTATCCTTTCTGAAAGGCCTGCCTCCCTGTTGCCTCATGTTGAGCTGGTTGCAGTCAACTAAATCCCCAGGACTGGCATGGCAACTGCCAGGAAAGTTAAGTTTCAACCGTTCTTCCTTATCTTGGTTATAGAGTCCCTGACAACTAAGTGAGGTTGGCGGGTTGGATCTCAAAGGAGTGAGAGACCTAAAGGGAGAGGTGCCAAGAACACGCAGAGGGACAGAAGAGCTGCATCAACCACTTTATTTGTGTTCCTCTGGGCAACGAGCACCCTGGGGAGAAGCTGTATACACAACACAACATTTGTAGCCAGCGAACATATGGTTCTTGTTATAATTTCTGAAAACCAATAAGCAAAGGGAGAACACGCTTTGCTCTTCATTTTTGCATCAAATGTAGAAAATCTTCAACCCAAAGCAAAAAAATGCTTCACTGGAGCTTTGTGCTAAAGGCCCTATCTCCCTGGAGCCTCCCTTCCTCTCCCTACCTCCTAATCCTCATTTCCGGGAGGTCACTTTAATTAGCAGGCTGTCTCGGTGACTCAGCCTGCTGCTTCCCCGACAGGGGAGGGAGCAGACTCTCCTGGACCCATTCATCATACAAAGGCACTTGACTCTTTAGAAAAATGCACAACATTAAGCTTGCCCCACCTTGGGAATTGCTGCTGCTGTTGTTTTATTTTATCATCCCCACCTGCCTGGGAGCGCATCTTTTCGTCTTTTGTATCTCCCCTACCTGGCCATCAGCCTTCCCCCCGTCAGACTATCAATGCCTGCCTCTTCAGTGGCCTGGCTGGATCTGTGACACCAGAATCTGGAGATTGAGTGACCAATACTTTTTTGTCTTTGGAGCTAAATTCTCAATGAAACCACCCAGGCCATTGGGAAATAGCTCTTGGAATAGTTTTCTGATGTTGCATGCTGGGATTTGGGGGAGTCAGGGAGCACGCAACTCATGCATAAAGTGACCGAATGTCTGAGACCACTGTAATTTCGAAAACTGTCCCATTATTCCCAGCAGTACAGGTGTCTCTGGGTTGCATGTGTTGTTGATGTTGCTTTGGATCAGCAGATATGGGCACAGCTTTTCTAAAACTATAAACAACCAGAGCTTATTTTAAAAGGTAACCATCTGGCCCTAACTGGTTTGGCTCAGTGGATAGAGCATGAGCCTCCGGACTCAAGGGTCCCAGGTTCGATTCCGGTCAAGGGCATGTACCTTGGTCGCGGGCACATCCCTAGTGGGGAGTGTGCAGGAGGCAGCTGATCAATGTTTCTCTCTCATCGATGTTTCTAACTCTCTATCCTTCTCCCTTCCTCTCTGTAAAAAATCAATAAAATATATTAAAAATAAAAATAAATAAAAGGTAGCCATCTGTGGTAACTGTACAACTTCAACAGGGAAAGGGCTGGAGAGCACGGACTTCTGACCAACCTCTCAAAGGGATGTGCAGGTTTTCCTCTTCCCGTGAGCATCTCTATGTGGTGGGAAAGGGCATCTGTACTCAACTGGTTTGCATCTCCTATTTTGTTCCTGAGCTGTAAGCTGAAGCCTTACAATTGATTTTCCATTGGTAAAAGGGAAAATCAATGATGAAATTTCTCATTTTCCTCCCTTCCTTTTCACTAGCTTATTCCTTATCCCACAGCCCTTCTCTTGGAAACTAGAAGGTGATTAATGTTATGCCCCAGCAGAAAATGCATGCTCCACAAGACCTCCCAGGACTTCATGTCCTTAAAAAGAGTTTGAAGGGTCTTTGTGGTTCACTGAGCTCTTCTTGTCCCCTTTGCTGATGGGATAGCTGCTGGTCGGGCCCCGCCGGAGTGGGTACTTGTAGGGAGGGGGTCTTTCTTTCCTGCAAAGGGGGAGATGACAGAAAGAGAGAAGAAGGACAGCACATATACACACTGTATGAAATCATTTGTGTGCATGTCTATCTCCCCCACTGGATTGGGACTGGCCTTGTCTTGTCCTGGGAACCCACCTCAGGGCCTGTTTCAAAGCTAGCACAGTGGTTCAATGAATAGTGGTTGGTTGGTTGGATGGATGGATGGATGGATGGATGGATGGATAGTTGGATGGATGGATACATTACATCATACTGGTTCTGGAAGAAACCTAACTTCTTATAGCTCAAGTCTTCCATGTTCCCACCTTGATTCTACCTCATTCTACCCATTCACAATAAGATAGGGGTGGACACATAGAAGGGCTGTGGCTTGAGAGAGCCTAGGACCCATTCCCTTCACAAGCATCTGGGCTCCAGAGCCCTCTTTATATTTCTCAGTACAGCCCGATTATGGAATTTCATGATGGGTCTGTCTCCCCACAGTCTGGGGGCTTTTATAAGTCAGAGATGTGTCTGGTTCATCACTGTGTCACAGCAGCCAGTAGCCAGCAGGCAGCACTCAATGCAATATCCTTAACACCACTTTTCAGTAACCATCCACTGTCTGGTTGGCTCACACACTAGACTATGAGCTCCTTGTTGTCAGGGACCAAGTCGTATCCACTTTTTCATTTTCCCTCACGCAGGGCCTTACGTTGTGACTGATAAGTTGGTGTGCCATTCATTCATGCTTTGGACTAAGATTGATTCCCAGTGGAAATAGTGGGCTTCAGAGCCAGGAAGAACTCAACTGAACTCCTAGGACTGCTATATATGAGAGGTGTGACCTAGTAAAGTTATTTAACTTCTCTGAGCTTTATTTGTAAAATGGGGATAAAATAGTCCAACCCTGTAGGGGCATCATGACTTTAGATAAAATAACATGAGTAAACGCACCTAGTATCATTCCTTGCCAATTGTAATTTACAAAGGCAGGGTGCTGGGTACTAGGAATGGTCCCAAAATGAGTCAGTCATTGATGCTGTTCAGTTTAGTAGAGGAGAAAACTGAACAAAATAACTACACAGAATAATAAAGAACTATAATGCATGGCAGGAAGTGGTAAATGGCATGAAGAGGGCAATCTCTTATTCTATCTGGATTAGAACTGAGGAAGTGACTTCCTGTAGTCCCCTACGCTCTAACCTGGAAGAGCCATTTCCTTCATTGTTGATGACTGAGGAGTAAGGTAAAGACAATAGGAGGTCAGCACACAAAAGGGACATTGTGCTTCAACACCCCCCCTGTCCTCCCCCCACCCGCCCCCCGCCTCCCCAACCAGAATGCCTGGCTGTTGCTTAAGGAAGGATCTTGCCAACATGGCAAGACTGTCTAGCCTGGTGAGACACAGCTTGACCTTCATTCCCATTGACAGCCTGGAGCACATGCTTGGAATGTTGCTCATAGGCAATGTGACCTTGAAGAAGGCCTTTCCCTTCTCTGAGCCTCCCCTTCTTCATTCCTAAAATAACAAGAGCCTATCTCCTTCCTGCCTCAGAGGCTCTGGTATAAAGGGGTTGGGGACAGAGCTGCCTCCTTGCTGAGGCTCACCTGGCCTGGTCATGTTTCCTATTTAATTTTCATGCATCTTGATGGTGCATTTTGAGCTTTGGCCCTGTGACTGTCACTGTGGTCCCATCAAGTGCGGAGTCTGTTTTGGTCATCAACACCACACCTCTGAGCCTGGGCTCTTAGGCCTACCTTGCTGGCCGTCCTCAGGCACCCTTTCTTAGCGATGGCCCAGCACCCAGGGGTGTTGACAGGTTCTGTCAGCACAAGGGTCAAAACTGACATATTATAATTATCCATAGAGATGAGAGAGAACAACGGATAATTTTGAGTCAAAACATGTAATTTTCCTTTAGAACCAGAGCTGCTCTTTTGCTTATGCTATTTGATGCTTGGGTGGAAAATAATACAAGAAACGGGAACTATTCAAATCCCAAGTTAGAGCCTTGTGTCCTCCTGGGAATTCATTTTTAAAGAGTTTCTGACCAGTTGAGAGCTAAGGGATATTCATGGTTTGATGAGTCAGCAGTGCAGGGATGGAGAGGGAGTTAATTTTTGTTTTTCTTCACTTAAGGGTGGGTGCATTTACTTTGTCCTCAAGGCTGTGAACTCTGAGGAATGAACTCTGTTTTCTAAAGAGGGCTCCAAACTCAGGGCAAGGGGTTTCCATGAACAGTGAAATCAAGGTGTTGAGAACTTCCCTGCAGCCTTTAGACCAAGTTTCACCCCTTCCCCATGTCAAATAATTCTTCACCAAGTGATGCTGAGAACATCAAGCCAAGGATCTTGGGGCCCAGGCTCTAGTCCTGCATCTGACCAGCCATGTCTTCCTCATCCGTATCGTGAGGAGGGGTCCTGGATGATTGCTAAAGTCCCCGACTGTCAGCCCCGTTCCATTAGTCTGACACAATGCAACATGCAAGAAAAAAGTGGTAAAGGATCAAAATAATTTCATTCAGGCTGAGAGAGAGAATCCCCAAATTAACTTGCAAATGAGATTCTAAGAGTTCTTTTGAGTTTTATAAAGCTTTAAAATTTTAAGAACTTTAACCAATCAAGAATAACTTCTAAGAAAGAACTGAGTACTTTCTCTAGAGGTGAGCCCCTCCAAGACAGGGTCATACCTTAATCATTTATATATTCAGCTTCATCCTTTCCCCAGGGTCCTTGCATAAAGTGTTGTTTTCCTAAGTGGATGACTAAATGAATGAATAAATGTATACAAAAATGCACACTCAGTACAGTCTAGACACTGTGGGAGCACAGAGAAGAAATAAATATAATCCTCCCCCAGGATGGGGGGCACAAAGAGCCCCATGACTGGTGAATAATCTGAGACTGACTATGAGTCAGAGTACATTGTCATGCAGCTGGGGCTCAAGGATAGTGACTCACAACATGGTTTAACTGGGGCCCTGAGAAATCATCCAGCTCAACCAGAGAAGGCCAGGATCTTGCCCTAGGCTATGAAGAGCCTGTTGGAAATCTGGGACTGCAAACTAGAAACCAGAGGAGATGGAAGCATTTATTGACCATGTATTGGCTGCTAGGCACTGCACCAAGCTTGTTATCTAATCTTTAAAACCATCTTTAGAGGTCATTGTTATTACCCCAACTTTATAGATAAGTAGACAAAGGTTTTAAGAGGTCCCACAGCTACAATGAGCCTGAGAGAATTTGAACCCTCACTTTCCAGGTGGAACTTAGCTGGACCTCAGTCTAGCTTTGGAATCATAAAAATCTAGGATCAGATCCTGGCTCTGACAAAAATTCTTTGACCTCAGGCAATTCTCTTCACCTTTCCGAGCTCTCTTTCCCTCATTTGTAATATGGAGCATATAACATCTACAAGGAATAAATAAATAGGATCAGGGACAGCAATTACTTCACTCAATAAATAACAATGATTGCTATAGGGTTTCTTGTTGTTGTTGTTAATAATTAGGTAAGGAGGAAGGTGCAAAGGCCCTGAGGCAGCAAGCACATAGTCAAGGTCTTAAGCAAGGACTGTGGGAAGACTGGTCTGGCAGGAGCAGTAAGTTATACATCTTCATGTCCTTCAAGGAGGCTGGACCACAAGGGAAGTAGGAAATGAAGCCAAGAGGCAGGGCAGGGGCTGCACAATCCAGATACCCAAATGCTCACTGGGCTCTCCTCCAGCAGGTGTGGGAACACCCAGTGCTTGGCGCTCTTGTTTAGTCCTCAGGAAGAATACTCATCTCCTGACATCTCTCCTCACTGGCTTAAGAAGTTGCTCCAGCAGAGCGCCTGAGCCAAACCTTCTCAGGGGTGTGTCCCCTCCAGCCCTGAACCTTTGTGTCTTGAGGGAAGGGGACTACCATGCACCAAAGGGACATATGTATGATAAACTTCCAACTGAGTGCTACTGTCCCAGTTTATGGATGAGGAAATGGAAGGATAAGACACTTTCGGAGCCTAGATGACATAGGAGTCTCTGAGGATGAGCTATCAGATGAAGTAGCATATGGTACCACCAGACTAATTTAGAATTATGACTGCACTTAGCTCCCAGTAAGCCCCATCCCTGCAGACTCCCATGAAATGTGACCACCCCTCACTGTCCGACCCCATATCGATACTTTATACTCAAGAAATACTCTGTTAAGCTCTTCTTTCCCATACACTCTCTGTGGCAGGGCTGGCATTTCTTTCCCGTGCCACAGATGGGAAACTGAGGGTGGAGAGAGGCTAAGGGAAGTTGCCCCTGAATGTGAAGCCCACAAAGCAGGACTCCAGACCACACTGCTCTGCTCAGCCACTTACCGCAGCCTTGGCATGGGAATCGCCATTTTCTCAACCATGGGGTCCAGCCGATAATAATCCAAAAACGTTCTGGCCACGTTCCGCCCCAGCTTCATATCTGCAAGTGGGTGTATTAAGGAGCAACTTGGAAAAGAGACTGACACAGAGTGAGAAGAGGACTAGTATAACAAAGGATTACAATAATAAAAACAGTTGTATCACTCACTACTCAAAGTTTTTTGCAGGGACTATCTTTTCAATCTGCACAACACCTCTTGGGAATAACTGGGCTTCTGTGGTCTGGCTTCAGGTATATCAGGAGGCCAATCATAAGACCCAGGAGGAAGATTCTCTTTGTTGTATGCAGAGCAGGGCCCACCTGACCCTCAGGGATCTGTCTTCTTTTTTGGTAATCCCAGCAACAATGATAAAATCCTCTCATCCTACATAGGGTCCCCATGCTACCAATAATAGATCTTTAGAGCTATGTTAAAATACAAACTCCCTGGGGACCACAGTGACCATTAACACCTTAGTATAAATCAGTACAGCAATCATCTATTCAGCTCCACAGAGTATCTGCTCTGTGCATTATATCCCACAGTGCTGGGCCTTCACATGAGCTGTTTCCTCTTCCTGAATTTCCTCCCTCTTCCCTTCACTAATTTATACCTATCAAGTCTCCAATTGGGTGATATCTCTTTAGCAAAACCTTCCATGACACTTCTCTCCCCTTGCCCCATACTTCCATGGCTTCTGAACTGACTTCACTCAAAGCACTTATTACCTAGCTCATGCCCCTTAGCTCAGAACATCCAAACTACCCCAATTCTTCTCCATGAGACCTCCTATTTCTTGAGTTTGTCTCTTGTCTCCAGTCCCTTGCTAGCCCCCTAGACAAGGCCAGTACTGTCTTTTCCCTGGCTTATTGTCACCCTGTCTTGACTGCCTGTCTCCACCCATTTTCTACAATGTAGCCAGGGGGGCTGTTCTAAAACACAGACTTGATCATGTCACCCAATTGAGTAAAACCATTCAGTGGCACCCAGTTGCCTTTAAATTTCAAATTTTGGAACTTCATTTACAAGGTCCTTCGTAATTGGGTCCCTGATTATTTTCTTGGCTTATGCTTGCTACCTCCCCACATCTACCCTCTTCCTTGCCCTTCACACTGTAGCAATACTGAACTTTTCCCCCTCCAGGTCTCTGCCTACACTATTCTGTCTTCCTATACCACTCTCCCTCCCTCCACAAGCCTTATAGGGCCGACTCACTCTCAGCCTTCTGACAGCTTAGTGTTGTTGTCATTTCAAGGAGAATTCTCGGCCACGGTGCCATCCAAGGTCTTGGAGCTAGACTAGCCATTGCAGAAGGGTCGAGTGAATTTGTTCCACCTTCTTCAAAAAGTCCCGGAGTTGGGGTTGGGCAGGACCCAGAACATGAACACTGGCATTTTTGGAGCACCTGGCATGTGCCTGGCACTACACTGGGTACTTTGTTTACATATGCATTTTGATCAAAGCAACCCAGTGAGGAAAGCATTTTCTGGGAGGCGAAGGAACTTGTCCAAGGCCACATACCCAGCAATGCTAGAGTCAGGACTAAAATCAGGAGTGTCTGACTGCAGAACTGTAAGCTTTCCACAACCCTGGGCTCTTTCCCAACTTGAAAGCACCTTTCCTGTCAAGAGCTGAGTCATCCCAGGCCAGTGCCTGGTGGGAGAAGGAAAAACACAGGATGAGCTGTTTATGACAGGCGCTTTGCCGCCCGCCCGCTGTGCTCTGGGGCTGCCACCTGCTTTCCTCTTCTGGATCTGACCGACCTTCTCTGTGCCCTTCTTTAAAAAGTTCACAAGCTGGCATGGCCTCTCTAACCAGCAGACCCCGAAGGCAGCCTCACGGCCAGGGCCCACAGAGCTGCTGGAAGCTTAAGGAGAGCAAATCATGCTTGCGTGTGCCAACAGTAAGAGCTACAGGGGCTCAGCGAGAATGAAAGGTCACCAAGGACTGAGGACTGGGTAGAAGAGTTGCAGCAGAAGTTTTGGAATCAGATGTATCTAATCCAAATCCTGGCTCTACTACGTTCTGTGTATGGCAGATTGTATTTCCCAAAGACGTCTGCAACAGTAGCTCCATCTCACATGCTATTCTATGCTATAACCTTGACACTCCTTCCACTGAGAGATATGGTCTATGTCCCCTCCCCTTGAATCTGGGTGGGCTTGTGACTCATTTGTAATCAAAACAAATGGCAGACACTGTGGGACTTCTGAGGCAAGGTCATCAAAGGTGATGTAGCTTACCCCTTGCATACTGGCATACTTCAGCTGCGGTCCTGAACCGCCATGCAAGCAGTCCTGAGGCTGCCATGCTGTGAGGAAGCCCAATCGCCTGGGTGGCTGCAGGGAGAGGCCCTGAGACTATGTGAGAGACAATGATAGAGAGATATCCTAGCTCCTGCAGCACTCTGCTCTTCCAGCTCCAGACATTGTCTAACAGCAGTTCCACCAAAGACTCCAAGATGGAACCACTCAGCTGAGCCCTCCCAAAATTTCTGAGCCACAGACAATATGAGAGAATAGCTTTTGTTTTAAACACTAAGTCTGGGGGAACTAGAGCACTGTGGGACCTCACATAAGCGAGCCAATCTCCTGAGCCTCAGTTTCCTCATCAGTAAAGGGAAACAGTGATGCCTGCCCCACAAGACTGTTGTGATGAAGTGTGTGACTAACACATGGGTGTTGACTGAATGAAAAAATGCATGGGGAAGAGGAAGCCTGACCCTGCCTCGCCCGCCCACAGTGACAGACAGACCTGAAGCCACCCTGGAGGACACCGTGTAAATCAGTACTCGAGCTCCACAAGGAAAGGAGCTGGGCTGCTCCAGTAAAATGTCCCACGGTGGGGCGCCGGTCATTTTCGACGAGCTCTGTTTAAAGGACAGTGTTTTGAAGGTGGGAGTTGTCTGGGACAGCCCTTTCCTCCTCTCCAGCCACATTACATTCCCTCAACCCCTGAGGGCCTCACTCCAGATGATTTACTGCAATGGCCCCGTCTGAGTCAAGAAATGGGATGTGAGTGGGAGATAGGGAGAGAGTGATTGAATACTTTCAATTAAAACAAGCTGTCTTTCAACAAAGATTTAAGATCCAGGCAAAGAGAAGGCAATAACTCTTTTGGCTGGGAACCTTTCAATATATGGCAGAATTAAGCCAGAAAAAAATCGGGGTGAAAACTCCCAACTCTTCATGGCCAACAAAAATCTCAGGATGGTCTGTGAGCTGGAAATGTCAGGCTCCTCAGATTCTCAGGTAGCTCCTGATCTGCTCTTTGCAGCTGGCAGGCAAGGACGTCAGGCGGGATCAGGACCCTTGAACCAGGGAAGCAGGAGGCTCTGCTGGGACTGTCCTCTCTCCCACGGTGGGTGCTGCGGGCAGGCCTGGTTATCATCCCGGTTTTGCAGATGAGAATCAAAACTGACTTGTGCACTGAAACACATCAAGTATTGGCACAAGGAAAATTGAAGTCCATTCATTCATTCATTCATTTGCTCGATTCATTAATTAATTCATATATTTATTAAGTGTCTTCTACACGCCAGACAAGGTTCTAAGAGCTGGGATACATGAAGAGAAAAACGGACACAGTCTCTGTCCTCATGTAGGTCTTTCCTTGCCATTATCCTGGCTCCATATAAAAAAAAATTTAGCCCTAACTGGTTTGGCTCAGTGGATAGAGCGTCAGCCTGCAGACTGAAGGTCCCAGGTTCGATTCCAGTCAAGGGCATGTACCTTGGTTGCGGGCACATCCCCAGTAGAGGGTGTGCAGGAGGCAGCTGAGCGATGTTTCTTTCTCATTGATGTTTCTAACTTTCTATCCCTCTCCCTTCCTCTCTGTAAAAAATCAATAAAATATATATTAAATAAATAAATAAATAAATAAATAAATAAATAAATAAATAAATTAAATTAAATTAAAAAAATAAAAAAAAATTTAACTCCTACCTGCTCCCTGTTTGGAGACCCCCACCTAGAATTCTTTCTCTGTTCACATTCCTCCCCATGCCAGCAACAGATGATCATTATTAAAGGAGATTGATTAGCTCTGCAGAGGGGTAGGCCGAGAAAAAGTGATTTCTCTTTGGTAAGGCTGATGGCACTGCTGGAATATTAAGAGGCACCTGTGTAGGAGCCTCTAGGCCTGAAGAACAATGCGACAGTGAAATAGCTTTTGTCTCTGCCTCCCTCACTCATCCTCCCACGGTGTCGGACAGGTGCATGATGAAACAGATGAATCTTTCCCTCGAGTGTGGTGTGGAGGCTGCAGATGGAGTTGTGGAGTCCTTTGCAGTTGCAGGCAAGTCCTGAGATGCCCTCGAGGTGTAGAGAGAGGAGAGAGGAGAGAGGAGAGAGGAGAGAGGAGAGAGGAGGAGAGAGGAGAGAGGAGAGAGGAGAGAGGAGAGAGGAGAGAGGAGAGAGAGGAGAGAGAGAGAGAGAGAGAGACCAAGTGAGACAGGGACCAAAAGAGAAAGAGATGCAAACAGACAGGAAGACACAAAGAGAGAGTGATCAGGGTGCAGCAGAAAGATAAGGAGAGAAAAATAATCAGAAGGGCTGAGAGAAACTTAGACTTGAAAACTGGAGAGAAATGGAGTGAGAGGCAGAGATAAACATAGGAAGTAAGTAACAGAATCAAACTGCAGTGAGAGAGAAGATACAAATGTAGGCGGGGGAAGAGGGAGAGAGAGGAGGAGAGAAAGAGAGAAAGGCAGAGGATGAGACAGAAAGGGAAAAGAAAAATAAGCAGAGAAACTCGGGGACAGAGGAGAGACAGTAAATGAGCTGCAGCAAGCTAAAATAGAGACAGCAACAGCGAGAGAGGCAGAGAGGACAGACAGAGGAAGTGAGAGACAGATTGACAGGGAGGACACCTCCTCTTTGACACATGACATGTAGTTCAAAAGGGGGAGATGCTTTCAGAAAGGAGCCCAGAAATGAGTGCATACATGTCCATGGTGGTGAGCATGATCAAGGCCTGCACACTTACCTGTGCGACTCTGGACAAGCTACTTATCTTCTCTGAGCCTCAGTGTTTTCATCTCTGAAATGGATAATGTTAC